GTCCCTCAGCAATGGCACAGAGGGTGTAGCACACACAGGTTTGGTTACCCACAGGGCGATAAACCGGTCCCTGTGACTGCGACAAACTCTGAAACACTTCAGACTTGCACGGGCCAGGAGAAGTCACAAGAACCTGGAAGTGCTGTGCTCAGAACTCGTGTTGGTTTTGCTGAAGGCCCTCTGGTCTCTCCTCTCTTGCAGTTCACCATCAACGTGAGCACCGACATGCGGCACCACCGCGTGCGCCTCGTGTTCCAGGACACCCCCGTCCGCAACGGGAAGAAGCCCCGCCTGGAGCAGGGGGTGCAGGTGGTGCTGGACCCCGTGCACAGCGTCAGGCTCCTGGATTGGTGGCACCCACAGTACCCCTTCTCCCCGAAAGCTTAGTGCTCTCCCAAGGCTGCAGGAGCCGGCAGGTGACTGGGTCTGGCAGGCCGAAGAGAATTTCTAGGAACCAGGAAAATCCTATTTTTATTTCTTAAATAAATTCTGCAGTCCTCCCTTGCAAGTGGTTGAAGCTGCTGAGCTAGTTTGTGTGTATATAACTTCTGGTCAGTAATGGGCAGAGCTGAGTGTAAAGCAGAAACTATTTGTAAACACACTTTTATGTAAAACTGACATTTTATGATTTGAAAGGAGCTCCCTGGAACTATTCATTTAAAATCCTTTTGGTGCTAATCAAAGTGGTCCTGTGTTCTGTTGTTCAGGAAGAAGCAGGAGGTTTTGCTTTCCAAGAACTTTCCGATTTGCTTTCCAGAGACAATTTACAAACAAAATCCACCTTTGTTTTGCTGCAGCAGGATGGTGCTCACCCACGGTGTGATATTTCAGTGTCTGAGAAGCAGAGAGCAAAGCAGAAGTGATCAACCATAACCTTACCTCCCAGCCCATCAGATCCAAGTTTCAGGAAAGAAAAAGGCATAAATGATCAAACAAAGGAATTATTTCAAAGAGGAATCGTAAGGCAAAAGTCTCTCTTGAATGTAAAGGTACTCCAAGTTCTCACACTGGTGTTTTGTCTTTGAAAAGAAGAACTAAACTTTTAAAGCCAGAAGGTGCTTTTCAGAGAAGATAAACAGGGAGGGAGAGGAGCTGGAGGGGATAAACTAAAATAACAAAAGCAGTGATGAAGGACTCAACCCCGTGTGGTTTCTGAGAGCAGTGTGGAAATGTTTGCTGTTGAAAGCCCACAAGCAGTCACTGCTCTGACTTTTGGCTAAACTGAGTAATTTCTGTGAGGAAGAAGCAACCCTGAAACTTTCTGTGGCTCTGGGCTGACTGAGAAGGGAGAGGGGCCTGTCAGGAGGATGGGATGGATCCAGGATGGATGTGGCTCCTGGTGCAGGAGTGGTGCAGGCAGAGGAGGGGCTGCAGTGCAGGGGCTGGTGAGGAGGAGTGACTGAAGTGGGGTGAGGAGCAGGGCACTGAGTTCTGCTGCCTGTCCATGATCAGCTCCTCAGTCCTGGTGCACTTCAGACCTTGTCCTAAGCAGGAGTAACAGCACTTTTCCATATGTGATGTTTAGTGAAGCACCTGGAAGGAGAGGGAGTTGTACCAGCTCAGTTTGGACTCGATGCTGTGGGTCCCTTCCAACTCAGAGTACTCTGTGATTCTGTCACCCCCATGGCCCTGGTGTAGCCGCCTGGGAGGAGTTCCTGCACTCTGTAAATCACCACCAAGGACATTGCCCCAGACTGGGATCTGCCTTAGAGGCTCTTGCTGTTGACTTCAAACACACACTTTGGGACAGCTCCTGCCTCGCAGTCCCCTCCTCACTGCTGCTGAACACCTGGGGATGCCCAGCAGGTGAGTTTGGGAACTAGATTGGTTGGAGTAGAGGTGCAGGGTAAGAGAATGTGCCTGTGCCTGTGATCCTGACCTGCCCTGGCAGCAGAGCAGGGTCTGTGCTGTGGGGCAGGAGGGTAGGACAGCGGGGCAGTGCCCTGGAGCTGTGCAGGGCTCTATCCCTGTGCCAGGAGAGAGCTGCTCCAGGACAATGGGGGACAACAATCTTCTGTTTTGCCATGGGGTTAAATGCCCCTTAGCTCTGGGACAAGTGTTCAGGGGGTGGAGGTCAGAGAGTGAAATGTGGGGAGGCTGCACAGTTCCCTGTTGTCTTGGAGGGAGCCAAGAGTTCTGGACTGTGCTTCCAGGTGTTTTGTGCTGCATTCCCTGGAAACTCAGTTTTGCAGGGTGATGCCTGGTGATTGCTGCTTGTGCAGGGGTCTGGAGGGTGGGAGCAGAGGTGTTTGGTTCCCGGATCAGACTGTGTAAAGCTCTGCCCTCACCCTGGAGAGCTGCCCTGGCTGAGCGGGGATGGGAGCGGCAGCCTGGGCTTCATTCTTGCTTCTGTGCAGAAACAGGGAACAGATCCCAGGGCTGGGTGTTCCTGCCGTCTGTGAGGGCAGGGATATGTTCTAACCAGGAGTATGGCATGCCCAGGGTGTGCTCAGTGTGCTGGGGCCGGGCCACCCAGCAGCACCCACCCCAGAGTAAATCCTGGGGCTGATCCTGGGCTGGAACAGCAGGAAGCAGGTGGACGGGATGTTTCCTGCTACCAACAGGCTTACTGGATCCAAATACAGCTGTTTAAATACATACAGAGGTGTCTCTCCCACACCAGCCTTTTTCTAGGCTGAAATGTATAAAATGTGGAAGAAAGATTTTCATTCTTTCCCTGTACAAACCTTCCAGTGACTGCGGTGCTGGTCAGCGGGGCTGGCAGGGATCAGGGACCCCTGCTGATCCATGTGGGGAGGCTGTGGAGGTGGCAGGGTGCTGTGGAGGTGATAGGGGTGCTGTGGAGGCGACAGGGGTGCTGTGACAGGGGTGCTGTGGAGGTGGCAGGGGTGCTGTG